CAGGGTGTCAGCTTGAGCCAAGGCTGCAGCTCCAGCAGTGTGGTCGTCATGGGCTCACTTGTGCTCACCCTGACACAGATAACATACCAAGATTAAAAAAAAAAAAAACTTGTTGTGAATATGCTGATGATTACATAAACCCTTATTTTTAAGTTAGATTTAAAAATTAAAGTAAAACATCTCAAAGTGTGCTTAAGATTTCTATTTTTCTGTTTTTATATTGCAAAGAATTAGAATATAGAAAACGAAGGAAGGTAACCTAGCATCAGAATTTCTTTTCTATCAAAAAAATGTCAAAAATTACATTTACTAATATATTTTATTAAGATTATAGACCAATACATATTGCCTGTTTTAAAAGCCATTTAATATATTTCTCAAAAACAGATTCATCCAATAAGGAAGAGGAAACGCAGTGACTCTTAACTGCAAAATGTGCCCAATTTCATACGAAATAAAAGAAATGCAAATGGAAATGTGATCAGATGTTATTCCTGTACAGCAAATGAGCTACAATCCAGAAATCTTAACAGCATATTATATTCACGAGGCTGAGGGGGGGAACAGTCCATCCTTGCGTACAGTCAGGGTGGGAGCCAGTTAATACTACCCTTGCAGAGGACAATCTCTTGTTCTGTCATAAATCACGTGCAAGTGCACACTTATGATGTATGTGACATATGTGTGAAATGATCAGAGGTGTTTGTAGCAGCATTGCTTTGAGATACGACTCAAATGCCCATCATCAGAAGCTAGTTAAACACATTTTGGCACGTTCGATTTTATGAATATTATGCCTTGGTTGAACCTCCCCTTGCACTAGGGGAAGGAGCTGTTAAGGTGTAATAGCAGATGAGATAAGTGGCCTGCTGGTTTGGTGGCTGCCTGGGCTTTGTATCAGAAACAGAGCAATCCAGGTTTGCCTTTTCCTCCAAAACGTCTGAAAGGCAGATGTAGGTTGTGTTGATAATGAAACCTTTTTTTCACTTTATGCTTTCGTCATGTTTAATGTTTATGTAATGTGAACATTTTACCTTATCTGGACATTTTAAATTGCAAAAGCAAATAATGCAGCTCAAGCTGTGGATTGTTTTATCTTGGGTTTTAGAAGGTCATGGGAAAGCAGGAGTATTTCTGGAATTGAGGCAGCAGTAGAAGCACGGGTGGGAGCAAACACAGGAGATAATTTCTAGTAGCTTTTTAACAGATCAAACAAGATTCACTAATAGGCATTTTGTATTGCAGCATATGTATGCGTATGAAGTGTGTCCCTCAGTGCTGCAACAGTTACCTTATTTTATGAAAGAATATGCTACAGCATAGTATCACCAGATTACTTACTGAATTTTTGAGTGGCCACTACATGGGCAGCGTCAAGGTCCCAGCACTGATGTGGATCCTTAGCCCATCCTGTTATCCACACGTATGAGGTGATCGTGTGTGTGTGTGTGTGAGTGTGTGTGGCTATAATGTACTGTCTGTGAAGAATAGTATTTTGCATCTTTCTTCTAGAAGATACGGATAATGATATGAACTACCAAAGAACATGGTTACACCATTGGCAGCATCTTCCATAATATCCAGAGTGGTTCACCGAGTTTTTCTGTGTAGTGTTGCTTTGTGGTTGGAAGCCTAACACAGCCCTTTGGCTGGTGGTAACATTTCGCATGATCTGAGTATGGTCTGAATGGGCTGCTCGTTGTCCACGCTGCCCTCCGTAAATTACTTCCTTCTGAGCCAAGTCTTTGCCCTATGTTGGGTATCAGTAAAAGCTTGAGGATGTATGAACATACCTGGACAATGTTGGTTGTTTGACTTTTGACTAGAAAATCACATACACATTTGCATCCGGGATAAAGGAGGGATTGACATTCTTTTGTGAAATTGAACTACTGCAAACAAATACATGCCTGCATAAAAGACCTTTTCCCCTCCTTATTGAAGAGGGCCTAGTACAGAGCTGAGATTTTTCTCAAATATTAATTTTGATCTACTCTGACATATTTAAAAAGGTGCGAATGTCCCCAGATATAGTGGTAGAGGTTAAAAAAAAATAGCATTCATCAGGCCATATTCAGCTTGAACATGATTTTGGCATAGCTTATAGTGTGATTTTGTCTATCTTTTTTGTTTTTTAACTGCCAGTGTTTTAAATTTGGGAGATTCCATGTAGAATTAAAAGTTTCTCAAAAACATTAGACATGGGCCCATGTGATGGTACAATGGCTCAATGGCTAAATCCTTACCTTGCAGACACCAGGATCCCATATGGGTACCATTTTGTGTGCCAGCTGCTCCTTTCCCATCCAGCTCCCTGCGTGTGGCCTGGGAAAGCAGTGGAGGACAGCCCAAAGCCTTGGGATTCTCAAGCTGCGTGGGAATCCTGGAAGATGTTCCTGACTTCTGGCTCCTGGCTCTGGATCCACTTAGCTCCTGCCATTGCAGCCACTTGGGGGGAGTGAACCAGCCAATGGAAGATCTTTTTGTCTATCCTTGTCTCCATAAGTCTGATCTGCCTTTCCAATACAAGTCACTAAGTTTTTTTTTTAAAAAAATCAGACATGAAAACATCAAACTCTGATTCTTACTTGGCACCTGTCAGCTTGTTGTTTTAGACAGAAACTGGGTTTCCAAGTTTTGTACAGTCCTGCTAGTGTGCTTTAATCAATTCTATTACTGTTTTATGTACATATATTAAAAATTAGGTGTGTGTGTATGGGGGGTGGCGTGTATCCTCCATCTACTGATTCCTTCTCGAAATGGCCATGACAGCCAGGTCGGTCTGGGCAGGTGAAAGCCAGGGACGTAGAATTCCATCTGAGTCTCCCACATGGGTGGCAGAGGCCTGAGGACTTGGTCATTGTCAGCCGCTTTTCCAGGGAGCCGGGTTGAAAGCAGAGATGCTGAGCTTGGACCCAGGCTCTATACTGTGGGATGCCAGCATCGTCGTAACAGAGGCCTAGGGGCTGCACCGCAGTGCCATCCCTACTCTGTTTTTTTCAAGATTTATTTATTTTTATTGGTAAGTCAGATATACAGAGAAGAGGTGACACAGAGAAAAAGATCTTCCATCCGCTGGTTCACTCCCCAAGTGGCCACCACGTAGGAGTTGAGCTGATCCAGAGCCAGGAGCCCAGAGCCTCTTCTGGGTCTCCCACGCAGGTGCAGGATCCCAAGGCTTTGGGCCATCCTCGACTGCTTTCCCAGGCCACAAGCAGGGTGCTGGATGGGAAGCAGGGCTGCTGGGATCAGAACTGGTGCCCATATGGGATCCCAGTGCGTTCAAGGTGAGGACTACTGCTAGGCTACTGCACCAGACCCAAGAATGAATTTTATAGCTGAATTTTTTATACTAAATCTTTTTGCCTAATAGCTTCTGTGAATAATGAACTAATTTTTTTGGAGAATAAAAATACATTATGCTTAACTATTTAGTAGGTTAAGAATTTCAGCATTGTGGTTCATGTTTTCTTGGTAATTTTTAGTCTTCTGTTAAAATAGGTTCTTGATTTATTTTGAATTTTATGTTATAATGTGATGTTGGGCACATTTCTGAGCTGTGTGAGTGTGGTGTCTTTTCAATTTCAGAAAGTACCACTGTGCAGGAGAAAGGTTTCAAGTTACCTGAAGTTAAAGAGGTTTTCAGAGTTTAGTGTGTTCCTGAGATTTTTTTTTAGATAATTAGTTTGGCATATTTTGTTGCTGTTGTTTCTGATCTGCTTCACCTGTCTCCAGCTGACACTAGGCAATTTGGGATTTACAGGAGTATATGCAGCGGGCTTCCTCCTCGGGTCATCCTTCTGGCTGCGCCCTGCAGCTCCAGGCCGTTGGCTCTGAGATCCAGCTCTGTTTCAGCGTCCCTCTAGTTCTGGCTGGTGGTTGTCGTCTCTGGGGACTCACGCAGTGATAGGGAAGATTGTGGGTTCTGTGAGGGGTTCAGTGGTGGGAGCTTGGGAGTTTTGCAGTGCATGTGCGGTTTTGGGGGGTTGATTGAGGACACTGGCCGGGGGACTCCTGAAGTGAGCTTGTTATTCCCTGACAGGTGTTCGCTTCCTTCCCAGCACAGAGGAGAGGGTATGTTGTGGGAGGGTGACAGAGTCAGAGGCAGCGTGAGGTTCTCTCATCTACTCCCGAACGCCTTCAGTAAGTGTGGCAGAGCAGCTTCAGTCACAGGAACCCAGGACTCAGTCTGGTGTCTCCACGCTGATAGCAAGGACCTGAGTGCTCCGGGGGGAACATCTGGTGACCTCGCCCGTCCCCAGGCTGAGCAGCAGCAGCAGAGAAGCAGAACTAGAACTTCAGCCAGGCACTCCGTCACGTATGGACTTGTCCTAAGTGGTGTCTCATCTACTGCCCCAAATGTCTGCCCCTGCATTTGCTTTTGAAAATCTCCCCTCCTCCTTATTGTTGGTCATCATGCTGTTATCATGCACACACAGTGATTTGTCTAAGAGATTCAAATCCAGATGATTTTTCTGCAAGAAAGTGGAGCAGACGGGGTGGAGTGTTTAGGACACCCGTGTCCCATATCAGAGAGCCTGTGGGCTCGGCTCTGGGTGCTAGTTTCTAATGATGCATACCCCGGAAGGCGCAGATCCACGCTGAGTTCCAGGCTCCTGCCCTGAGCCCGGCCCACCCCTGCATCCTGCCATCACTCAAGAAGTGAATGAGCAGACGGAAAGTGTTTCTTGCCATCACTGCGTCTGTGCTTTTCCAATTAATTAGTTAATTGATAAGGGTAGTCATAATGGACGTTGGATAGTTTTTTTCTTCTGTTGGACATTTGGATATTGTTCTATATGTCCATTTTCTGCAATCGGATTGGTAGTGATAGGTTATAGTCTTGTTGTATGTTGATATTTTGTACGTAAACTACACAGATGGCAAAGTGATCATTTTGAGAAATTAAAAAAAAATTTTTATTCAAAACTTATTTGGAAGGAAGTTGTACATTAGTATCTGATGATGAGTTTTGGTTATATTCTGTTTTATGATTTCAGAACAAAAATTGCCCAAGACATTGAGAGACTGATACATCAGAGTGATATCATAGATCGAGTGGTATATGACCTGGACAATCCAAAGTAAGTCTGGTTTTATGGTTGTTTAATAAAAAAAAAAAAAGTAAGAAACTATACTTGACTTTTCTAGCTGATTTTTTGGGGGGTGTAATGGTCAATCCTTTTTATTTGCTTAAATTGAATATCACAAGCTTTTGTTTCCTTTAAGATAAATTGCTAAGAGGTTTAAGGTAAATATCACAGTGTAATTCTGTGTTCTGAAGAAACCAAGGCTAGATAACACTTTTTAAAGGTTTTCACTGGGAAGGTGATTGTTGAAACCCTATTAAGACTTCTGGTTGAATAGGATGCATTGCTTAGCAAGGAGAGGAAACATCTGCCCAGTCTGTCTGTAATCTCTCAGGGATTGGGGCACTTACAGTTCTCTCAGATAAAATTTGGGACAATCACCAGCATTCTTGGAGTTTTTAGTTTCCTGGTAGAATGTAAGCTCCAGAAGCGAAAGAGTTAAAGAATTTGTGTTTAAGTTAGAGAAAGTGTTGGTGTTTAATTAAAAAACTCAACAAATACCTTAACACAGTGTCTGGTACCTGGTAGGAACTCAGTAAATAAAAAAATAATGAATATGCAAAATGAAGAAAATGTGTGTCCCTTTTGGCGCTAATGAAGATAATAGGTAATGTTATCGGTTGCAAGATTAAAAACACTGTTTTCACTCAAGAATTACATGGTTGAGTAGAATTATTATTAGGTCATATAGAGTTTTGAAAGTGACTTTGGTCTTTTCTCTGTGCTAATCAGTGAGGCCGAACAGAGGAGCAAGTTTCCAGTTGTAATTGTAAATGCCTTTTTATTTTTTTGTCTGTAAATGTTAGTCTAAGTTGATACTTTGCATGGGTTTGTTAGGTTCTTTGGTATTAAAAATAACAAGGAAGGTGTTGTGACAATAGTGTTGTCATTTATTTATTTGTGGTTTGCTCGTTTAAATGCAATATATTTTAGTATGTTTTCTTTGAAAATTTTTATTTAGTTACACCATTCCAGAGGAAGGAGAAATTTTGAAGTTTAATTCCAAATTTGAATCTGGGAATCTACGTAAAGTAATTCAAATTAGAAAGTAAGTCATTTCAGGTTTTCTTATTTTATGTGTGCATAATGTGAAATGTTTCCAAAACTACTTGTTCTCACCTGTCAGTGTGTATGTGGAAAATAGAAATTGTAAACTCTAGAATTAGGGACACAGACCTGATTTGGTTATAAACATCCATATTTTAAAATGCTTAGAGTCTGATTTTAAGTGCCTTCTAATTCTGTTTTTACTAAAGCATATTCAGGGGTTATGTTGCTTTTTATAATGGTGCTATGAATATTATTCATTTATATAAACTTCGTTGTCTTCTGTTTTCAGAAATGAGTATGATCTTATTCTGAACTCAGATATAAACAGCAATCATTATCATCAGTGGTTTTATTTTGAAGTCAGTGGAATGCGGCCCGGGGTTGCCTACAGATTCAACATCATTAACTGTGAGAAATCCAACAGTCAGTTTAATTATGGTAAGAATTTTTGTTCCCAGTTGAGATGGCACGCAGGCGTCTTATCAGTAGAACAGGAGTCTGAAGGACTATTACCTTTTAGAAAAATGTGTCAGTATCTTTGTTATTTTCAATTTCTTGAAAGTCATGTTTATTATGCAAATGTTAAAATATGTTGATCTTTGATTTTCTCATTAAAATAGCTACCTTTGTATAGTCAGGTTCTTCAGAATTTAATGGAGATGGTTAATTTCATTCTAGTTAAATATACCTAAAGATTTACTATGTATGCTCTAGTGGGTTCATCTGATCATACAGTCTTTTTTTTTTTTTTTTATCCTGATTGATTTTTGAATGCTCAGCCAGCCTTTAACCTGTGAAATAAAATCCCACATGCTGGTTGTGTATAACGACTCATATTTGGTTATGAATCTTCAGATTCATACTCAGAAATGATACTGGTCAGTAGTTTTTCAATTTTTGATACTGTACTTGCTTTAGCTATCATAGTACTGTTTGTAAAATGAGTCGGGGGATTTTGTTTCACTGATTTTTCTCTACTGCTTTATGTAAGTGATATAGTCTTTAAAAACCTGGGCAATACATCATTAAGAACATTAAATCCATGTAGCCTGAATGGAGGCTTTTGTGTTTAGTACTTCAACAAATGTGTAAGGAAGGCCTGTTTACCAGACATTGTGTCTTATAGCCAGGCATGCCTGTGGAAAGTAATAGAATTATATACTCGATGTTAAGATGTAAAAAATTAAAACATCAGATTTCAACTACTTGAGCTGATAACAGCAGGTGTTTTTGTTTCATCTTGCAAAAGAATGTTGTTCTGGTGAACAACAACAACAACAGAAGTCTTCCATTTGCAGTGGAGGAGAAATCTGCAGTTGAGCTCTGAAATCTTGAGAGGTTGGAACCCCCCGCCTGTAGCGCCGTACTGTCTCTCTTGAAGGAGTCCTCTAGGCTGGTAAACCGTGGATGTGCAGATACTCTGTCAGCAGGCATTTCTGAAAAAGAATGTTTCCAAAACTACTTGTTCTCACCTGTCAGTGTGTATGTAGAAAATAGAAATTGTAAACTCTAGAATTAGGGACACAGACCTGATTTGGTTATAAACATCCATATTTTAAAATGCTTAGAGTCTGATTTTAAGTGCTTTCTAATTCTGTTTTTACTAAAGCATATTCAGGGGTTATGTTGCTTTTTATAATGGTGCTATGAATATTATTCATTTATATAGTCTTTCACATTCTTGGCTTTTGTGAGTTTACTGAATAGCTAAATAACTAGTGACATTTCTCAGACTTGCTTGTTGCCCTTAACCATTCATAGCCGAGTGAGCAAATGTAGTAATGATCAAAATTAGAAAAGAAATCTCGTGTTTTTCCTGTTTGATTCATATGTTAACATAATATTTTTAGATATATTTAGAAGACAAAAGGACAATCATTAAGTTGCTCTTCATGTTTTGGGTGTTCCTCCAGAATAAAATGCTAACTTATGTTTATTGTGTAATTTTCAAATAGTGTTAAAAGTGGGTGTTTTAACTCACAACCTTTATTTATTAAGTTAAAAATGTTCAGCACCTGAAGCCTTATGAAATGTTTTAATCCTTAAAAGTGTGCCCTTGGAGCATGCTTTGTTTAAAATGTGGCGGATAGAATATCTCTCCCTTTAGTATCATTTAAAATTTTAACTTTCTTTAACTAAAACTGAAAACAGTGTGACAGATGGCTGCTTTATTTTTAAATTTCTTCTACTTCCTTTTTTCTTTTGGATAATCTTTAATGTATATCACACTTTCCAAACCAGCTTTGTAGTGAATTTGGAAAACAGTATGGTCTTGAGAAGAAAATTAAAACTACTGACATTACAGAATTCAGAACTAACCACTTTAACGTTTGTTATTTCGTACTAGCCTTTTAATAATGTTGTGTATGGTTTTTTTTCTGTTTTTAAGATTTGTTTATTTTTATTGAAAAGGCAGATATATAGAGAGGAGGAGAGATAGGAAGATCTTCCGTCCAATGATTCACTCCCCGAGCCGCTGCAACGGCTGGAGCTGAGCCAATCTGAAGCCAGGAGCTCTTCCAGGTCTCCCACACAGGCGCAGGGTCCCAAGGCTTTGGGCCGTCCTCGACTGCTTTCCCAGGCCACAAACAGGGAGCTGGATGGGAAGTGGAGCTTCCGGGATTAGAACCGGCGCCCATATGGGATCCTGGCATGTTCAAGGCGAGGACTTTTAACCATTGTGCTATCACACCGGGCCCCTGTGTATGATTTTGGCATACATATTCATGTATCTACTTTATAGAATAAGGCCCACAACCAGCTAGCTTCATATTCTATATGTTAACAAAATATTCTCATTAAATGTTTTGGCTGATGCAGAGTTTAATTGGTACTCTGTGGCGGTCTAGTATAAGTTACATTTTCCAAACTGTTTTTTGTTACACATTTGTTTCTAGTTTATTTTTTGCTATAACTCAGAGGAACATTACTGCCCGTAAGTATTTGTGTATAATTACTTGGTTACAGATTCACGGAAGTGGGATTTTTTTTCTGTACTTACATCTTTTGATAACAAAACAGTGGAAACTAAGAATAGGCTTGACATGTGGCAAAATGAGAACAATTTAGGGAAGAAACGGGCTATTAAGGAAGATAGCATCCAGGAAAACTACTTTTTAACACTTGGTATCTGTTCTTAAATGAACACTATTTTAAAATTAAATATTAATCTTTTACAGATTTGAATTTGCAGTTTGAAAAACTCTTTTGTAACTCTGCATTTACACAATAATTTGCAGATTTCCACATCCTGATAAATACTATCTAGCAACATTATAAGTAATATGTTTCTAGTAGTCTGTTGAATAAAGTATAATGACATATTAACTGTTGATCAAATTACATGAATGAGTTTAATACTTCTGCCAGTCCCTACTTCCCCTAACTCTCAGCAATGTATGTCCATTCTCTTCAAAATGTTTTCTAGAAACTCATGGCAAATTGTAAGCAAGGATCACTATTCTGAGACAGTTTGTAATTTTGAAATGTTGAAGTAGACTCAATCTCTGTTAGTGTCATCATTTCATATATTATGGCTAAATTTCCACCCTAAGAGCACCCACAGGACCCCATGTTGGTATCCCGGCTTCCCATCCAACCCCCTGCTTGTGGCTCAGGAAAGCAGTGGAGGATGGCCCACAGGCTTGGCACCCTGCACTTGTGTCGGAGACCCAGAAGAGGCACCCGGCTCCTGGCTTCTGGCTCAGCTCTGTCTGTTGTGGGGAGTAAGCCAGTGGATGGAGTATCTTTCTGTCACTTCTTTTTTTTTTTTGTAAATCTGCCTTTCCTATAAAAATAAATCTTTTTTCAAAAAAAAGTTAATTTATTTGAAAAATCAGAGATCTGTCATCTGTTGGTTCTCTCCCCAAATATCCAAAATACCTGGGGCTGGGTTGGACTGAAGCCAGGAGCCTGGAACCCAAGCTGGGAAGGCGTAGGCGTCCTGGTATTGCGCTGTCACCCGAGGGCTCCCCTAAGTGTGCCTTAGCCGGAAGCCGGAGCGCAGATTGGGGCATGGACTTGAGCCGACGCCTTCCGCTATGGACTCTGTGCATCCCAGGCAGCAGTGTAGTCGCATACTGAAGTCCTCACCGCAAGCATGATTTTAACAGAAGACAAAAAACATAGCAAACTCTACCATGCAAATGGGTTTGAAGAGATGTAATATCCATGTCTCCACTGTCCACAGCAGTATACAGATTCAGAGCAGTCTCAGTAAAAATCCCAAGGACTTTCTTCACCCAGCTAGAAAAAACATTTGGAAAATTCATATGAAAACATGAAAGATGTGGAGCAGCCAAAGCAATGCGTGTGTGCTTTCATGTGGAAGGCAGGGTTACAGAGAGCGCAGGTAGATTGTCCATCTGCTGGTTTGTTCCCAAAGTAGCTGCAATGGCCGGAATAGGGCGAACCCAGAGCCAGAAACCGGGAGCTTCTTTTGGGTCTCACACATGGGTGCAGGGGCCCAGGGACCTGAGGCATCTTCTGCTGTTTTCTCAGACCATAAGCAGGGAACTGGATCAGAAGAGAAATATCTAGAACATTCACTGGTGTGCGTTTGGGATGCTGGGGCTACAGGCGGAGGTTTAACTTACTACACCACAATGTGGCCGAAGCCAAAGCAATCCTAAACAATAGAAATAAACCTCGGGGCATCATGATACCAGACTTTAGGAGATCCTGCAGGTGTGTTATAAGCCAAATAGCCTGGCCCTGGTAGAAAAACAGACATGTATGTCAGTGGAATGGAATAGAATGTGCACATCTACAACTAACTAGTCTGTTTAAACAATATTTATGTATTTATTTGAAAGAGTTACACAGAGTGTGAGAAACAGGGAGAGTTCTTGCAACTCCCCAAGTGGTTTCTCTGGCCTGTGCCAAGCCAGCCCACAGCCAGGAGCTCCCACGTGGGTGAGCAAATCAGCAGGGGGTTGGAGCACAAGTGGAGCAACTGGAGTGACCTCCTGCTCTGGCACTTTCTTACTTTTTGGCATTTGCTATTTTTCAAGGGATTTCAAGTATAGTGTGACATTTGTTTTAGCCGTGGAGTCCAAGAAAGTGTAAAATATTTAAAAAAAAAAGACCCCAAATTAGATCGTGAGATAGATTCTACATTGGATTTTTCCTTCAGTCTTACTCTTCATGTCTTTTTAGCAGAGATTCTTCTCGTATTTTAACAAGGAGTTGTCTCTTGCGAGCTTCCTGTGTATTTCCATGTATTTAAGTAGGAAATCAGGAGAAGCTAAAGAAGCTGTTCACATAGATGTGATGGCTTATGAAAATCCATCATTAGTTTTGTGTGGCTAATATAACATAAAGCTGGGCCCGGCGTGGTGGTTAAGGTCCTTGCCTTGCATGCCCTGGGATCCCATATGGGTGCCTGTTCTAATCCCGGCAGCCCTGCTTCCCTTCCAGCTCCCTGCCTGTGACCTGGG